AGCAACCGCACGCATGTATAACACTTCTCATAGCTATAGTATGTGAAAATAAGTGTATTCACTGAGCTGATGAACTGAATGAGAGAGTGAGAGAGAGAGAGAGAGATGCAGAGCGTGTGCAGAGCAGGGCGACGCGAGGAACAGGATGAAAACCGCTGCTTTAAAACATTGATTTTGAAACTTGTGAATCCATTAGAATCGTTAGAAGACAGAATCGCGATTCATATATGAACAGATTTTTACGTGCACCTCTAGTTTTCTCTCCCTCTTCTCTAAAGCAGCACAGCATGGCCTCGCCCCCTTTGCTGCGTGTTCTCGGAGGCGGGGTTTATGTCAAATTCTGGGTTCTTGACGTAACGGACCCGGGAAGTAACTCGTTGTAGTCCCTTATCAGTCGTTTTTGTAGGCATTAAACTGTCAGAATTTTAAAAGACGATATATCCATTTGCATTGAACTTTCAGCTTCTTAACTTTGCAGATATTGTTTATGCTCAAACAGCAACATTACACACTAACTAACATTAAAAAAGTGAAATCGCAATCAACCACCCCTTTAAAAAAACGTGACACTCTAACATTTGCACTCTCTATTCTATTTCTATTCTAACTACTTGTTTTATTTACAAAGAAAAAAGAGCCTCTAACACTAGCATTCTCTATTCTTTCTACTTATTTTCTTTTTATTTGTTATCAGTGGCGTAACTTTGCTTTGAAAAGTGGTGGGGACACCGCGCAACTGGTTTTGCTAGTTTTTTATTTAATAACCTAATTTACTTGGGGACTGGGTTTAGAGTTGGACAAACTTAATTTTTGCTTTTCAAAAATACATCGATGTAGCAGGGGCGGCACCAGAGAATTTTGAACGCAGGTGCTGAGGGGGTGCTAGATCATTGACAGAGGGAGTTGGGCAATTCAGGGCTCCAAACTCATTCTTCCCACTGGTCGCTCTTTTGCGATTAACATTCTCAGTTGGTTGCACAAGCAAGTTTTTTTTTTTGCATTACAACATGCTATTAATCAGTGCATGCTGATGAACTTTTATCATAGTTTATAGTTATATGGAAACGAAAGTAGTTAACATTCAACCCGTTCTTTTTCATCAGTAGTATTATTTGTGATTTGAATTTTGTGAATGGAAGTTCCTCTTTTGCCATGTTATAAGCCGGGCATCGGATGCTTTCACTTTCGATTTCACGATCTTGTCAGGTTTTACAATAAAATATAATTGTCTGTTTTGCTTACATCTATACACCTTTCACCTTTTAAGAAAAAAAAAAAAAAGATGGATTAATTATTTTTTAATTAAAATGCACAACAACAATAAAACAGTAAGATTCAATGACAAACTAGCTTATAAAACATTAACAAAAACAAATAAGATGAGGCATGGCATAGGCCTACACGCTGTATTAGGCTATGTAATATTATAAATAATGACCTTCTAACACTAGCATTCCCTATTTCTATTCTTTCTACTTGTTTTCTTTTTATTTATTATAAAAACAAAATAAGCAAACAAAGAAACAAACAAAAAAAAACCTTGCTACAGATACTGTTAAACGAAGCCCCGCCCATGAACCACGCCCCCTACTGTCCTCCTTTTGGAAAACTAAAATATGGTCACCCTACCTAAAACTCCTTAGGAGAAATGGAAGTAGACACAAATGAGACATGACAAATATTTGAGAAGAAAAGAAAGTCAAAACAGAGAATGTGGTGGAAGAAACCGAATATCTCTTTATTGTCTTGCTGCAATCTCTATCAAGACTCCATTATAGGAATATTTTATTGCTCAGTGGTTGCTCTTTCTAACCTCAGGAGAAGTAGTGGTGATTCTCATGTTTTTCTCATTTTAGTCTCAACAGTGTCTCAGAATCCTTTGTAGAAATAAAAGTAGACACAACTGAGACATGAGAAAATTCCAAAAGAAAGGAATCCAATATGACAATGGGAGAGAAACGTGTGAGAAACATGAGAGATCTCTTTATTGTCTTGCTGTAATCTCTTGCAAGACTCCATTATGAATGAATGATGCATTTATATATAAATGGACATCAGGACAGTAGGAGTTGAGACAGTAAACAATTGGACAGGTGAGAATTGAACAGGAGCAGAAAAGTACCTTTAGCTGGGATTCAAACCCATGTTGTCTGAAGTGCAGTTGTGCTTCACATCAATGTGCTGCCCACAAGGCTATGGCTCTGACAAAGGTCACTCTACGCTCAGGATACTAAGGGGTGTTCTCTTATATGTTTCATTGAGATATCAGCTTTGTCTTAAAGGGGTCATATGATGCGATTTCAATTTTTCCTTTCTCTTTGGAGTGTTAAGCTGTTGGTACATAAAGAAGATCTGGAAAGTTGCAAAGACTAAAGTCTCAAATCCAAAGAGATATTCTTTATCAAAGTTAAGAGTCAGCCACACCTACCTAAAATGGCTCGTTCTAACACGCCCCCACATATCTACGTCACTATGTGGGAAGATTTGCATAACGCCGCCCAAATGTGCATGCAAAGAAAAAAGGCGTGGTTTCAGGAACCGCAGTAGTGTTGTGGCAGCCATGTCAGGGAGACTCTGACATGACTGTGTATTTCAGTGCGAAAGCAAAAGCATTTTATTTGGCCTTCCGAGTTTTGCGCAGCACAGAGTAACTGTTGAAGTAACTTTGTTGAAAACAATGTGCTTGAGAGAGGCGAGGCATAGAGGACCTACAATAATGTACAGTATTTGAAAAATAATGTGTTTTTTGAACATTAAAGCAAGTCTTGTACAGCCCATTTCTGCATGTATGTAATATTACTGTGCAATAAAACACCGTCTACATAAAACAACTTCAAATATGACAATGCATGTATTGTCTTTGATTGAAATGGTGTAGATAAATGACTTTAAATTACATTATATTTTAGTTAACATTAATTTCTTGTCAGTACATTAGTAGTACCCTTTAACCATATTTTAAAGACACTAGAAGCAATTATGAACATATAATTGTACATATAAAGATCCCCCTTAAGTGGTTTAAAACAATCACTCAAAAGTTAAACTTATTGCATTTAATATAACTTTAAAATGTGATACATTTTAAATGAATTACAAATACTTAATACAATGTACTTAAGTGGCAAGAATAGTACATTTAATTTGCACTTACGTGTGTTCTTTTAAAGTGCCCCTATTATGCTTTTTCGAATATTACCTTTCATGTAGTGTGTCATGTAACATGAACTATCTGCAAAGTTGTGAAGCCGACAGTGCACGATAAATAAAGTTATTGTCTATCAAAAAAAAAGAGTCGGCTCGCAATCGCCTAAACGAGTCGTCAGGAATTTGAATCTTATTCTGTTACAGCTCTACATCACGAAGTAATACATTTGCATAATGTCTGCCCACGTTCTACGTCACCAACTTGCCCGCCTCAATGGGCCTCTACACTTACTACTAATTTCTGACAGCTGTAACCCTCCAGAATTTTAGTTGTAATCGTCTTTCATGCTACAGTGGTTACTGTTGTCTAATTGTGATCACTGTGTTTTCCACAAAATAAAGTTTTTTTTTGTTTGTTTTTTTAATTCTCTGGTTATTTTGTCAACCAAGTTAGTAGAACAGTGGCATACCTACAGCTAATATTCTTTAAAATTTTGAGCGATGAAGATTATGGCAATGTTTCAGAAAAAAAATCAAGCATTTATAATTTTTTTCTCAAATTTTTATCTCCACTGTGTGTGTGTGTGTGTGTGTGTGTGTGTGTGTGTGTATATATACACACACAATATATACATAGCCTACATTTGTATATATTTACAAATGAATCTAATTGAATCCAAAGGTTGTGAATCGGAATTTAATTGTGAAATCTGTGTCGAGAATGTATGTGTGAATGCTGACATCTCTGTAGATCAGTACAACCGTATGTGGGCCGCACGTGAAGCAGGCCTAATGGAATCGAAGAGAAGGCAGGTGACATAAGGCTGAGCATCCTCTGGAAACTCTGAAGGGACAAGACGTCCCCAATCTCATGTCAGTGAGCTTTCCAGCGTAAACCAGGCCCGCATCTGGGCAGAGTCGATAACTGTCCCCAGGAAGACGACTCACTGGCTGGGAGACAGAGCACTTAGCCAAATTGATTTTCAGCCCAAGGTGCTCAGAGGGTAAAAGTGCTCAGGGCCAGAGACAGCTTGAAGGGCAGGACTGTATATTGATAAGCCACCCCCTTGAATTAGAATCTCAAGAACGGTCTGTGATGAGTGATTATCTGGATGTGAAAGTAAGCATCTTTCAGATCCACCAATAAAAACCAGTCCGCGGGGCATATTTGTGGGAGGATCTGTTTCAAAGTCAACATCCTCAGCGGCCGTTTCATCAGCGGACGGTTCACGTGTTTGAGATTAAGAATGGGCCTGAGCCCGCCATCTTTCTTGGTAACAAGAAAGTAACGGCTTTAAAAGCTTGACTCATTGTCTCTATTGCCCCTTTTGCAAGTAGACTTTGCACTTCAACCCGGAGAACATGTGAATCGTAGTACCATACCGAAGTTTGAAAAATAACTCTGAATTAAGGGGGTCTGCGAGCAAACTGGAGTAACTTGACATGCCCGGCCACTGGACCAAAGTGATCTGAGTCTTTTCGAGTGGCAAACTGAACAGAGCTTCCATCGCCCAGAGCTAAGTGGGGGAACGGAGAGCAAGCACGAGACTTCTTTTAAGGGTAGTCCGGGCTCAGCTGGACCTGACCCACTTCTCTTCCTTTCTGCATTGAGATCAGGGCGGCTTCTGTGGCTCAGGGTCCAACATCACTCTGGGGCAGGGTCCCTGGTGCTTAGATAATAGGTAGAGTTTAGCCGTCTGAAGACACATAGCCTGTGATGACCTTTGTGCCGCCGGGAAGCTCTCAGCTAAACCATCCACTGAAGGGCCAAATAATTCCATGGAGGAAACTAGAGAGTCAAGGAAGGTGACCATGTCAATGTCCTTGATCTCCATTAGGTTCAACTAAAGTCATTATAGCATCACCAGGCTGGCCATGGCCTTGCCAATTGCCTGCTCTTTAAAGGCATCAGAATTCGAGCCGGAGTTGTCCATTGTTCTGAAAAGTATGGCCTGAAAAACTTGGAGCACCGGGATCATATGGAGCACTGAGCCAGCCTGGCCAGCCGCCGAATAAGCCCTGCCCTCTAGAGAGGAGGTGGTCCTGCAGGGCTTGGATGGATGCACCGCATGAGCCTTCAATCCCAGGGCCGATAGAGGGCAGAGATGCACAGCAACCGCCTGAGGGGGTAGCTTGCCATAACCCTTGTCTTCAGTGCCATCAATGGAGGTGAGGGCAGCAGAAGTGAAGGGATAAATGTGCACTGAGTAGGGGGCGTAACACGTCCTGGTAAGTTTGTTGTGAAATTCCTGGAAGAACGATCCCAGCCTTTGCCAGGAGGATCATTGACGGCATCCTGGCAGGTATTACTCATCAGCCTTAATCGTAGCAGTATGGAAATAGGCAGGGACGGCACTAGGGGTGGGCTAAGTAAAATCAAATGTTTTCAGTAAAGACCTGAATGTTTTACTACTATGCCAGAACCGCAAATTTGCTCTCTGCACATCCAACAGCATCTACTTACATTGTCATTCACTCCCGACAAGAACCGCCTACTGAGGCTCGTACTTCTGTTTGACATGTAAACTGGCCAACCATCGATAAAATGTTACTGCAGCTGCTTCAGGTATCTGTAACTTACAGTATAAACTATCCCTATAGTACTGATCTTGCTAATTTGCTACTGAGCCCAGTCACTATGAAACAACAAATATAGATATTTAAAGGGGTCATATCATGTTGCTAAAAAGAGCTTTATTTTGTGTATTTGGTGTAATGCAATGTGTTTACATGGTTTAAGGTTCAAAAAACATAATTTTTTTGACATACCCGCTCCAGTCCGGGAGCCCACAGGTTATTCAGTCCGGGAGCTAACGGGGACCGTTGCGAAGCAATCGGCTGGTCCTTTTGCAGCCGTTGAGGCTGTTACTAACCTCTCTCTGCTCTTGTTTTCAGTTTCTCCTGAGTTGCTGAGGATTCCGATTCCGCTCTGGTTGCCTGCCAGGGTTTTGGTTTGCAGGAGCCTCACTGGCTCATTCCTCCAGCTCTGTCCTGGCTATCTGCTGGGGTTCCTGTATGGTTGGGGCCCTGCTGGTTCGTCCTGCCGGTCCCGCCTTGGCTTTCCACCCTGCCGGTTCCGCTCTTAGACCCTGGTCTACCTCTGTTCCCTGAGCCCGTTCCTTGGCATGGTCCTGGCCTGCCATCCCTCCCCCTGGTCCGCCTCAGTTCCACCTCCCTCCTGAACTTTTATGTTTTCTGGTGGAGCGTCTGGTATCCGCTCCATAGAGGGGGGTAATGTCACAGTGTCTGGTTGTGGTGCCCTGGACTGGCCACTTGAGGGCGCTCTCCTGTTTTTGTGTTCAGTTTCTCCTGAGTTGCTGAGGATTCCGATTCCGCTCTGGTTGCCTGCCAGGGTTTTGGTTTGCAGGAGCCTCACTGGCTCATTCCTCCAGCTCTGTCCTGGCTATCTGCTGGGGTTCCTGTATGGTTGGGGCCCTGCTGGTTCGTCCTGCCGGTCCCGCCTTGGCTTTCCACCCTGCCGGTTCCGCTCTTAGACCCTGGTCTACCTCTGTTCCCTGAGCCCGTTCCTTGGCATGGTCCTGGCCTGCCATCCCTCCCCCTGGTCCGCCTCAGTTCCACCTCCCTCCTGAACTTTTATGTTTTCTGGTGGAGCGTCTGGTATCCGCTCCGTAGAGGGGGGGTAATGTCACAGTGTCTGGTTGTGGTTCCCTGGACTGGCCACTTGAGGGCACTCTCCTGTTTTTGTTATGTGTTGAACTCCATTTCCCATAGTCCCTTGCTTGTCTTTCTGTTCTGATCATTAGCACCTGGTTATCAGTTTCGATCATGTTCACCTGTTATCAATTACTCATTATCCCTCTATATATACCATGCTCACTCTGTCTGTCTTGGCTGCTAGATTGTGTCTTCTGAGTTCTTAGTTGTCTTATGTTCATCGTGTTTCCTGTTCTCTCAGTGTTGGATTACCTTTTGCCACGTTTTAGTTATGTTTTGTTAATTTGTTACTTTCATTAAACTGCACATGGATCTTATCTTGTTTTCCCTGGCATTCCGTGACAGTGGCACTGCTGAGGTGGTATGGAAGCCCAGGTTTCTTTGACAGTGGCCTTCAGCTCATCTGCATTTTTTGGTCTCTTGTTTCTCATTTTCCTCTTGACAATACCCCATAGTTTCTCTATGGGGTTCAGGTCTGGTGAGTTTGCTGGCCAGTCAAGCACACCAACACCATGGACCATTTTGGGAAGGAAGTTCCACAGAGTAATTCTGTCACCAGGCACATGGAGCTCCACCCTTAATGTACGTTTAGAAGGAGGAGGCCTCTTTACCAGGTACTCAGAGAGGGCTTGTAGTACTACCATAGTGGACTGGGGATTTAAAAAAAAAAAGGTACAGCTTTTACTTATGCATTATTATGATATCTTGTTAGAGGACACTAATTATCAGTGTTGGGGAAAGTTCCCTTTAAAGGGGCCCTATTATGCCCTTTTACAAAGTCTTGATTTGGTTTTTGGAATGTACTAGAATAGATTTTCATACTTGATTGCTCCAAAAAAACGCATTATTTTTCACATATTTTACATAATTGGAGCAAATCTCTTCTCAGTCTTTCTCAATAGCCCTGTTTAGCTCCTGTGTCGATGAAGACTCCCCTTCTAAAATATGAAATGTGCTCAGTGTGTTGTGATTGGTGAACCGCTTAGATCGTGTTCCGAAAATGACAAGCCCCTTACCATAACTGTGAGTTTCATCTGCTCAGCTGTAAATATTAACGATGTCATCAATTTTGCCATACCAAATCGAGCCCAATTCAGACCCTGAGAATGTTTACGAACAAGAGGATTGTGCAGAACCTTTGCAAGCACTGATTTTACTGGACATTTCAGAGTGGTATGTTTTTTTTGGGTAATTTTCTTATACATTTTAGATACAATGTTAAACATTTAAAATTAAGTGCAGTAACTGTATAGGAAAAGGGCAAAGATAATATGTACTCAATGTAGTATTATTTAATTACAACGGTATTGCATTAACTGCAGTAAAACTGTTATACATCTGCAGGAGAAGCTTTTGTGTGTAGTCGGAATTGCACTCTGTTAGGTTCTGGAAGCTGTCCTTTGTAAAATGTGATGCAGATAAATATTGGGGTCATATTGTTCAGGAACAGTGTTACAAATAAGTTTGTCTGCCTTAGGGAGGCCAAACAAAGGGGTTTTGGAACCAGGGTGGAAAAATAACCATGGAAATAACATACTACTAAAGCAGCTCTTCTTCTTCTCTAGCACAACTCAACTTTACTATGAAGAAAATAATTTTTTTCCATGATACCAAAGCAATACAATTCAAACCTTTTGTTGTGTGCTCGTCATTTTACCGAGGACAGCTTCTCTAATCTTGGCTTTTATCTTCTTTGGCTTCTAATCTTATTTATTTGGACTAACAAGTGTCTTCGAATCTGATTCTGATTCTTCAAAGGGCTCTACGATCCCAGCTGAGGAATAAGTGTCTTATCTAGCGAAATGATGTCATTTTCTAAAAAATATATATACTTTTTAACCTTAAATGCTCGTCTTGCACTAGCTCTGCGATGCGCATGCATACTCTGTGCACTCCGGTTCAAATAAGTTAGGGAAGGGCAAAAAACTCCAATCTCATTTTCTCCTACAACCTTAAAATCGTCGTTGATTTACCTTTTTTCTAAAGGGGAAGTACTGACCCAGTGTTTACAAAGTGAATGTGCAAAGAAGGTAAAACGCCCTTCCTGCTATGTAGACCAACATGAGCTGGCCCCATCAGCTGATGAGGAAGAGTGGCCTGAACTTCCACCTTGGCCTGAGCCTGAGTCAGATCTGTCAAGGGTTATGGAGACTTTAAATTTAAACAAATCTGGCACAGCTACACACCAACCAGACGTACCTAAGAAATTGAGTGTCTCTCAAGAGCCTCTTGAGACTCATCAAGAGCACCCCCCCCCCCCTCCTACATAATATTTTCACCATCTCCAACACCTTGAAGAACTCAAGATATTCTCCTCATTCTGCAAAGCCCTCGTATCTGAAACCCTTATGGGCCCAGAGGTCAGTTTCTTCCCCCTGACTTGGGTCCATGCCTGCTCAGCCAAGTCACCTAGCATCTGGGGTTAGAGTCGAACAATCCACTTTTAGCCCATACATCAGTGTCCAAGCATGTGTATAAAGGGCCTACTCCTACCATCCCCAAGTTCAGCACAAGTGAGTTTGCCAGACTTCAAATAGCCTTAGAGAATCTGCTTCCTCCAGACTGAATACTTTAGATATCAGATACTTGTGGACCACTTAAAGTTAGATGAAGCTAAGCTGATAGCTGTTAGATGATTGATGCTTATTTGAATTTGCTTACCCCATTTACTGATATCATGGGGGCCCTCCAGAGAGGTTCGGTCAACCCCACCAACTAGCTGTGAGGAAAATGTCCAGTGTCCTGGAAGTCCCTCATATGAAGCGTGAAGATGCAGTTGCATTCCAGAAGTTTGCCCTTCAGGTACAGTCATTAGTGGGCTTGCTGAAAACTTTAGAACCCGAGGGTGACATTGAGCTGAATTGTGTGTCCCAAGTCGCATGTCTTTTGAGCAAGCAACCTTTGGAGCAGAGTTGAGTTTTGCCATTATACATTACGCCAACCTGGCACTGTACCTACTTTATATGACCTCTCTGACTGGCTCCGCTATGAATCCTAGGGGTGGTAATCACCAGAGGCCCCACGATACGATATTATCACGATACAATATTATTGCGATTTTAAATATATTGCGATATTCTGCGATATATTGCGATTTATTACCTTTTTCCAACTTCAAATTATGTCCCCAAACGAAAACTTTGGCATCATCTGTTTTAACTAAAAGAAAAATTTCTCAGTTTGTTTATCTCACTTAAATTTTATTGTTGCAGTGCAAAATGGGATTGTCAAGCAGACAAACTGACCAACACTTTCATGAAAACCTGTCATAAATGTTGTATGCACCTGGCAAACTCAACTATTTGTATTACAGTTTAGTCTAGTCAACCTTAATTAAATGTTAACAGGTATGCACTGCTGTGCTACTACAGGAATTTTGAACAATGCAACTTGAACTTGTACAAAAAATGTTGTGCGGACCCTTCAGCACTCGGGGCATTTGAAAGTACATTTCCTCCCGCTCCCGCAAGGTTCTATTCCGCACCCACCAGCTCTCACTATATATTCACTCTTTGTTCACCTGCTGTCTGCTTAGAATAATTTTCTTCCAGACCCCACCGTTCCCGCTAAATTTAGATCTCGTTTCCAGAATCTCACATTTAAATTTCCACTACTGAAAGAAAGAGAGATAGGCTGACAAATAAAAGTGTAGTCTGCACAAAATTGTATGTTATTTTATTCGTCTTGTCAAGTCTTGAATTTATTGACTTTGACTTGAATTTATATGAATTATCTTAAGACACAAAATTTGTTTAATATTTTATGCAACACATAAAGGAAAAAAGTGTCAGAGAAAATAAAAATGTTGTACAAAAATTGTATTTCTTATTTTTATTCGTCTTGTCAGGATACAATTAGTTTAACATAGACAACACAATAGGAAAAAAGTGTTGCAGAGAGAAAAATAAATAAAAATGTAGGTTGTACAAAAATAGCCCATTAGCTATTTTTATTCATCTTGTCAAAATACTAAATTCATTTGACATTTTTCTGTTAACACATTAGGAAAAGTGTCTCAGAGAAAAATAAATAAATACGACATCTTTCATTTAAAATTATAGGCTAAGCAAAATATAAACAAAACCGAGTTGAACGTCCTTCAAGGACAGCGCATCCACACTTTGCTTCATCCTTATTCTGCTCTGTCAGTCTTCGACAGCCTGCCTGTTCTGTCTGAGGGCCGTATATTTACTACAGGTCCAGCCTGCTCTGAGCATCGTTATGCACATGCTGCGCACAGACCCCGCAAATAAAACGCGTGACGTTTAAAGCATGCGTGCAGCGCGTGCATAACAGTCCGAGTGCAGGCTGTACCGGTGGTCAATAAGAATAAAGCACAGATATGCTGTTCTAAATGGACATCGGGAACGGGATATTGTTAGACCGCCCTCTCCCATTCAAATTACACCAGAGTTACCGACCGCTACCGCGTTTTATTTGGGAATTTAATCCCGCGGCGCAAAACATTCGGTCAGGGTCCCGCGGTTTCCGTGGGAGAGCCGCGTAATGCAGACCTCTACTTGCAGCGCAGCAGTAGACTCGGTGAGGAAATTACAAAGTAATGAAATTTATAAACTTTAGTGACGTTGTGACACTGCCTCTACTGTGCAAGTGACAATTCCTGTGTTGAATACCTGAGTACCTCACCTTCAGCATTATAATTATTTCACCCGCGTCGGACAGAGACTGAGACGGTACCGCTGCAGGTCGTGCCAAACTTCTCATGGCAGCGTCATCAGCTTGAGATAGTTTTTTGAGATCGGCCTTTTAGAGACTGTCGATCGATCATCCCAACGTGAATATCGGCCGATAGTGATCGGTAGCCGGTAGATCGAGCACCCCTAATAAGCGGGATAATCAACGGCTTTCCGTGCATTAAAGGATTTTAGAAAAAAACTCAACACCACCATCTAGTGGACTGTAAAGAAATGTATTTTGTTATTCTACTAAATAGTATAATAAAAGATAGATACTTGGCGTCCCTGTATCGATACAGTATTGCCGCAGAAAATATCGCGACACTAAGCTGTATCGATTTTTCCCCCACCCCTAATGAATCCTGGTCTAGTGGCTTTGATGTAGAGATTGCCCCACAAAGAATTCAAGCTCAACAGAACCCTAGATCTGTACAGAGTAAAACAATAACCATTCTTCATGGGGTAGAAGAGGCTCAAAATTTTAATTCCCTGTCATCTCACAAGGTGTTATGACATATATAAAATTGTATAAATTGTAATTGTATAATATACCATTTGTCCCTGTATTATCAATATAATATAAATATATAGTGAGAGGCTAACGAGTCAAAGGGGATATATTAACATCATTGCTTCTGTTCCTTAATTTAAAAAAAATTTTATTTATAAAAAAATCTTTAATCTTTATAAATCTTTATATCTTACCTGAGTTGAGCCATACCCTCCTCCGATGTCACGGTGCTCATTTAACCATTGAAAAGGGGCAACTGCCTCCTTCATATGACCACCTTTGATCAGTGCTAACAATGCATAGCCAGTAGCTTCCAGTGTGAAAAAGCGATTATCAGAGTCAGTCCAGTGGGTACGATCTGTGGACAGAAGAAGACAGATAGAAGACAAGAGGAGATAAAGACTGACCTTGTGAAACAGTACCTATTGGAAAGGTAACTGTAAAAATTGAGGTTATATATTTATGTACCCGTTGAGGCAAACTTTAACAGCATGCTCTTCATGCAGCCATGGTTGGATACTGCTAAAGCGTAGCATGCTATAGCCACTGTGTACGGCCTCTTCAGTCGAGGGAAATTCTGCCTTAGATACTCCACTGCTTTACTGGAATTGCCCTATATTGATTAACAGGAATATTATCAGAAGCAAAAATAATATTTTTTGAATGGCTTGTTATCTTACATTTCAGAAAAATTTGACGTTTGATTCATTTCTTGATTTATTTCTATCCTTTTTCTAACAGCGTGTGAGCATGTGTTACCTCAGTTCAGAAAGTTTGTGTGTTACTTTTATGCTGTGAATGCACATGTATGTATATGTGTTAATGTCCCACTTTTGTGTGTGTTTGTATAGGAGAAAGAATTAAGTTACCTGTATGTTGAGGCCTGGCTCTTGGCAGGTAAGAGCATTTTGTGCCTCTGCCAAAGCAATGAGCACGAATGCGGTCAGAGACACTCTGGATTCAGAGCCTTGCAGGCCTCCCTTTATACCAACACAGTGAACATAACGACATATGTTAGTACTGTGAGAAAGCATTCAGATAGCAGTTTTACCCTTTTAATAATTATTATGAAACTACTACAATTAATGTTATCACATTTATTCTCGCAAACAATACTCACCATCATACTGGTGTCGTAGACAGGATTGTCCTCCTGAAAGGATCCATCAGGATGCTGTTTATTCTTGAGCAGGTACACCAGAGGGCCACACAGATTCTTGTCATTGATGTTTATAAATGATTTTACCATGGAGAAAACCTTCACCACGTATGCAGTGATCCTGAGATGGACAGAACATAAAGACACATTAACATGACAGACACATGTTCAATGTGAAGCTGTGATCAGTAATGTGTTAGCATGAGTACCATGTGCTGGTGCCTTCTTTGGCATAGGGAGGGTATGAGTCATCCTTTTTTCGATAATTAAGTTGATTTTCATAACCTATAAAAAATAAAAATATAAAAAAATTATCTAAAACATCTGAAAGAATGATGTTCGTTCATATTTGAGTCTCATTGTGCACCTGTCTGGATGTATTTGATGGCCTCTTGTCTGCGATCTATTCCCACAGCGTTCCAGTTTCCACTGCGGTCCAGGTAATGGGCGGCAATGAGAGGCAGCGTGATTCTGGCCAGGTTCTGCTCGACACACCCGCCGGGCATCCGGATCAACGCTGCCAGAGAGTCCTCCTTAATAGAGTTATCAATGCTGTCTGCCAGCAAATCACCTGTAGAGACACACACATAGACAATTTCCTATTTCTACACAGCCATACTCTTTACTAATGAAAAATAATATCTATATGTGAGCTGTTAATATGTCAAAAGTGCTTAATTAGCAACAAAGAAAGGAGACATTATCCAAAATATAGTCATAATAATCTTAAATATTATCTGATATAATTTCTAAAATAAATACAAACCTCTGACATTGACGAATGCCTTAGGCTTTGAATTTGGTACCACTGATTTTAACTCCATTTTCTCCACTTTTATCACCTGTCTCCCTGATAATAAACACAAATGAAAAATTCTAAAAGAATAAAATGCACCAATAACACACAAACATCACAGAAATAACCATTCATTACAGAAAAACAATTAAAGAAATATATTAATTCATTCACAAAATGCATAGACAAAAGCAACATTACTTCCAAAACTGTGAAATTTGAACATCTAATTATTGTTCTGAAAAAAAACCTGCAAGTTCACCACTGTCTCCTTTCTCAGAGGGGTTCAACACAAAGCTCCTTGACTTGATTCTCTGGATGCCTTCTACCTAAAACACCAGATACAGCATATGCCACACACACACACAAAAACTTGTGAAAACGTAGTTTGATACACTTTCACAGAACACACAACATGTATTATGTAATATATATCACAAAACTGTTTCCATAAGTAAGTGTGAGATGTTTTAGGAGCCCGCTCACTACCACACGTAGATTCTTCCTCACTGTATCCGCTTCAATAAAAGAACGCGCAATGGCTGTGACCTGTAGAGGAAGCTCTCCTGTTTTAAGAGGGATGATGGCATATGAAATGAGCTTGGAGGAGCCGGCCGGTACCGAAACCTGCTGTCTGTGAGCTCTGCTAAATGCCACACTACACATGTCTTTTGTCTTTTCCAGGATCACCATGACCTGCAAACAGACAGAGTGTTCAGGCCAGGCTCATAGATCATTTGTTCACATATGGCACCCCTGTCTTGCATTGTAATGTGTAGTTACATAATATGACGTTTACATTAAATGGTCCAATAGTAGGCTTAAAATTTGTGAGCAGAAGTTGTGCTGAAATTTCAGTTTATCCTGTTAAGGTTGATTCTAACTTCTTTGACCTCAGATAACAATAGGTTTTCATTAAACTACGATACATGAAATAACATAATAGATATTTTTATATGGAAATGACATTCAGATACCATATTGAAATTAATAAGGAGTGAAAAATAAATATTATTAGGATTGATCCATGAAACCAAAAGAAAGCTTAAACATCAAAAAAGGAAATGCACTTGTCCTTCTCTTGGTTAGATTGGGAGCAAAAACACCACAGGACCAATGTAATGTTGCAATATTATACCCGCTCATCACAACGCAAAGTTTATAAGCCCTCACAATATGTATCATATACACCATGCATAAAATACAAAATATTGTCTGCTATATTATGTAGCTCATATATATTAATTGTCACTATACTTTCATTTGTCTGAAATTAATTTGAAATGGCAGTTTTTCTCCCTTTAAATCCTTGTAATTTTCTACTTGGTGTCTAAATTTTGTTTATTTACATTACACATACAAAATCTAGGGGAACCCTATTGCCAGTCTATCCTAATCTGACAGTACGGAAGGATATCGTTTTAATCTTTAAAATTAACAGAGCAAGTGTGTGTGAAGCACCTGATCCGAAGTCAGTAGATTCTCCTGTGCTGGAATAAAACACCAGTCCTGCATCACTGAAAACACCCATATTATTCCTGCCTCCTCCTGCGGTGCAGCCCATATCACCCTGACCCACCACCTCCCACACCTGAATAACAGAGATATGAGTATCCATAAATCTCCTACAGGAAAAACCAAGAGTTGTCAAGATTTTCTGCATTAATGAAAAGTAATGTGTACTGTAAATGACCTTCTTCTGCGTCAGATGGTTTTTACTCAACAGAAAGATGGCATTATCCACAGCAACCAGGCTGACATTTGCCCCCGGGTCTCCTTTCACTTCAAATTTAAAGCTGCTGCCTGGTGAGTATGAACTGAGTTTTTCTCCCTCCGCTGATCCTAAACTGAGCTAAAACAATCACAATTAAGCAGCAAGCAATTGCACAGATTAAAAATATCTATGCAAGTTTTACTACTTAACACTGTACAAGGAGTGTAACAGTCGGGTTACAGAAGTAAAAATTGTCAGGCATTTTTAACGGTAACTTATAAATGTTTACTTATAAACCTTTAAAGACAGACCTACTGTGAGTTCCGAGTTTGTTAATGAATGGCATATGCTTTTGTTGATGCCATCTGTTTGCATTATTTAGAGATTTGGAAAATTTTATTTTACAGCTGAATTGAATTGAATGAAAAACTACATTACATTACATGATGCTGTACAGAAAATTCAAACAATCAGCAAGCAAATCGCACCAAAAGAGCTCTTCACGGCACAGCGAATGATATAATAAAAGCAGTCTCCTTACTATCTCAAAATACTTCAATTTGTATGTACATATAGGCATATTTTGTGATTAACTTAAAATGTATTGTTTCTATAGATGCAATCAACAACTTTAAATTAATAGTTTAATATTTATCCATAATTTTTTTATATGAATATGTCATTCGCAATGCTTGATGGAACTGTAGTTCTTTCCCTCATGAAAGGCATTAAGCACACAGTCTTGTACCTTGTCTTTTTTCTGATTTTCAAATGATTTTTTGCTTCAAATAAATGTTTCTAATATTGTAATTCACCTCTTGGCTGGTTGGCTTGAACTTTAAAAATATTTTTAGACATGGGTTTTATGTTACTTTGAAATGCTCTAAATGTTACTTTTGCAATTGTGAAAATATACACTGACCATGAAGGACGGTTTCTTGTACTAATACAAAAATTCTATTTTGGAAAATCAATTCATCACTGACACTCATATTAAGACATGATATCCATAAATAACTTAAAAATGAACATATATAAACATGGTTCAGAAGTTGCCTGACATAGGATTTAAACACCCAAACCAAACATAATGACTAGCCTTAAGCCTTGTCTGTGAAACCGGGGGAATGTTGGAAATGATACGGCTTAACATGTTCCACCACATGGAGGAAGCTTGCGCCACAAGGTTCTAGTGATATAGGATCAGGGGCGTAGCAGCAATTTTAAAAGTGGGGGAGGGGGAACTGTCAGGTGATGTGACCCTCAAAGGCAAACAAATTAAGTACATAATGTACAAAGTAAGTAAATAAGAATAAAATCTAAATAGAATACCAACTGGCGTTTTAGAGAACCCTAGTGGCAATTTTGGGAACATGCCATGTTGGCTTACAGGAACCTATTTTTGTGATATTAAATTTGAATTAAAGTACTACAATATGATAAAGTATGATAAGATAAGTATTCAGCATAAAACAACTTTGCTTTATTGGGAAAGGATAAATCTACTCTGGACACGAGCAACACGACGCAACAAAAGACAGCAGATCCCTATAATCAGTTATGTCTCATTTAGCAGACGCTTTTATCCAAAGCGACAAGTAGGAGAGCATTTAACACACACTGGATCTGGCACGAAGTGACAAGGTTCTTAACGGGTTCTATTGTCTTTTGTCGCATGATCATGTCGCTCGCATCCAGTGTAGACACGGCGTTACAGTAGGTTAAATCAAAACATGGAAATTTCCATGTTCCATGATCTCGTGATTCGTGTCATCGCAACATAACACATACTTACAGTGTGTGTTTGAAAAAAGGACGTAATTGTCCTCTACTTTTTTCTGGGGTGCATTTTACCCCAGACCACCAAAGAGCAAAGAAGGAGAGAGAAAACAGGAGATTTGAAGCTCATGGCAGACGTGCCCAAAAGATGAATCGCCTTGTGATATGTTAGTTCACTCAAAATTAAGTAACAAGTCTGTTCCTAACAGTGCTACGTGCTACTCCTGCTACGCTCCTGCCTAGGACTGATTCAACGTAAGAATGAATACAGAAAAAAAATCAAAAACAAAAAAAAACGATTACATGGTATAAAAATGTAAACATTCTGAGAACACATAAAATTAAGAACACAATTTACTTGGCATATCAAAAACCATTTGGACATTGCCACATATGGGAATAGTTGAATGTGCAACGATTATCGCACTGTGCCACAGACAAGACCTTGATGCTGAAGAGATTTTTCAGTGTGAGGAGGAACACACACACACAAACATTAGCTAACATGCTAATGATTAGCATGCTAAACTAACTTAACTTAACTTAACTTAATAGCCACAGAGCCACAAAATAAAAGAAAGAAAAACAGCAGACAAACAAAATGATGGAAAATTAAACAAGATATTGTTGGAATTTACATAAACCAAGGAACAGAATGACACCAAGTAAAGACATTTTTGTAAATGTTTTCAAAAGTGAAAAGCATTTTCAGTTCTCTGTTACGTATATAACCCTTGTTCCCTGAAGGAGGGAATGGAGACGTTATGTCGACACTGACAAACTGAACGTGAAGAACTTTTGCCTTGTCTGATAAATAACATAGCCTAATTCAACAAGAATATGACAGGAGTAACAGTTTAGTGAGCTGTCCAGGGTAAACGCGGTATGTACAGTGAGGGAAAAAATTATTTGATCCCCTGCTGATTTTGTACATTTGCCCACTGACAAAGAAATTATCAGTTTATAATTTTAATGGTAGGTTTATTTGAATAGTGAGAGACAGAATAACAACAAATAAATCCAGAAAAACGCATTTCAGAAAAGTTATACATTTATTTACATTTTAATGAGTGAAATAAGTATTTGACCCCTTCGCAAAACATGACTTAGTACTTGGTGGCAGACGTTTCTTGTATTTGGCCACCAGGTTTGCACACATCTCAGGAGGGATTTTGTCCCACTCCTCTTTGCAGATCCTCTCCAAGTCATTAAGGTTTCGAGGCTGACATTTGGCAACTCAAACCTTCAGCTCCCTCCACAGATTTTCTATGGGATTAAGGTCTGGAGACTGGCTAGGCCACTCCAGGACCTTAATGTGCTCCTTCTTGAGCCACTCCTTTGTTGCCTTGGCCTTGTGTTTTGGGTCATTGTCATGCTGGAATACCCATCCATGACCCATTTTCAATGCCCTGGCTGGCTTCAATGTCCTGACCCTGACGGTACATGGCCCTGTACATCGTCCCTTTGATGCGGTGCAGTTGTCTTGTCCCCTTAGCAGAAATACACCCCCAAAGCATAATGTTTCCACCTCCATGTTTGACAGTAGGGATGGTGTTCTTGGGGTCATAGGCAGCATTCCTCCTTCTCCAATCACGGCGAGGTGAGTTGATGCCAAAGAGCTCGATTTTGGTTTCATCTGACCACAACACTTTCACACAGTTCTCCTCTGAATCATTCTGATGTTCATTGGCAAACTTCAGATGGGCTTTCTTGAGCAGGGGGACTTTGCGGGCGATTCAGTTTTTCAATCCTTCATGGTGTAGTGTGTTATCAATTGTTTTCTTGGTGACTATGATCCCAGCTGCCTTGACATCATTGACAAGATCCTCCCGTGTAGTTCTGGGCTGATTCCTCACCGTTCTCATGATCATTGAAACTCCACGATGTGAGATCTTGCATGGAGCCCCAGAAAGAGGGAGATTGACAGTTATTTTGTGTTTCTTCCATTTGTGAATAATCGCACCAACTGTTGTCACCTTCTCATCAAGCTGCTTGGTGATGGTTTTGTAGCCCATTCCAGCCTTGTGTAGGTCTACAATTTTGTCCCTGTCATCCTTGGACAGCTCTTTGGTCTTGGCCATGGTGGAGAGCAGCATGGTGGAGAGTTTGGAATCTGGTTGATTGATTGCTTCTGTGAACAGGTGTCTTTAAGAGAGTGCTCCTAATCTCAGCTCCTTACCTGTATAAAAGACACTTGGGAGCCAGAAATCTTGCTGATTGATAGGGGATCGAATACTTATTTCACTCATTAAAATGCAAATCAATTTATAACTTTTTTTAAATGAGTTTTTCTGGATTTTTTTGTTGTTATTCTGTCTCACAGCTAAAATAAACCTACCATTAGAATTATAGACTGATCATTTCTTTGTCAGTGGGCAAACATACAAAATCAGCAGGGGATCAAATAATTTTTTTTCTCACTGGTCAAGGAAACCATACTGTGGAAGAATATAAGATATCCAGGGGGTATCAGTACAGTACCATGTCCGGCAGTGGGGTGATGTGATGGCATGCAGCTCAAATAACGGATGCAGCCACAGACTTCTCCACAAAGTCTGAAGCCGCGGGGCACTGGAGGAATAGCCAGGGTTCACCAAATGGGGAACTTACTGGAGAAACAAATGCACGTATCCTCACCAGAGGAATGGTGCCACAAACAAGACACCGAACCAGACCTCCTGCAAATTACTTGATTGTACCCAACACACGGGAGGAAACTGGCTTCACCCAAAGATTATAGAATCACACAAAGGTGTTTGGTGTTGCCCAGCCCGCAGCTCTGCAGATGTCTGCCAGAGAGGTGGTGTGCGCCAACACCCAGGAGGAGGCAACACTCTGAGTGGAATGAGCTCTCACCCCCAGGGGGCATGGCTCACCTTGTGCTTGATACGCCAAGGTTATGGCGTCCACTAGCCAGTGGGCGAACCTCTGTTTGGAAACAGCCTTCCCCTTCTGCTATCCTCCAAAGCAGACAAAGAGCTGTTAGAGAGTCTCAGACATGTAAATGTGCAAAGCGTGAACAGGACATAGCAATCCAAGGGCTGGGTCTGCCTCCTCCAAGGGCAGTGCTTGCAAGTTCACCACGTGGTCCCAAAATAGAGTGGTGGGAACCTTGGGCACATAACTGGGCCGAGGTGTCAAGATAATGTGAGAATCAGCCTGCCCAAACTCAAGGTGCCTGCAGGTCCCCAACCCTCTTGAATAATGTGAGCGTGACCAGGAGCAATGTCTTAAATGACAGGAATTTAAGCTCTAGTGAGTCAAGCAGCTCAAAGGCGGCTCCCCGCAGTCCCGACCAAGACCATGGAGAGTTCCCAAGAGGTGATGAGGTTGATCTGGGAGGATTTAGTCTC